CCCGGGTGCGCATCGAGGCACCACTTCTCCGTTCATCCTGAGGCCGAGTCCCACATACAGCAACTAGAAGGATGTGCAGCTACGACACACAACTATCCACTGGGGCTTTGGGGGGAAAAATAAAATAAATAAAATCTTTAAAAAAAAAAAAATGCTTTTCCTCTAAGCCGGGTAGGGTTTCTAAACAGAGGAGTGGAGCAGACGTGTCTCTGTGTGTTCCAAGACTGTGGATGCAAGACCAGGAGTGTGGGTAAACCGACTTTCACTCTCCGGGATTGGGGGGTCACATCTTGCACAGAAACTCAGTGAGGTTCCCTTCTAGACTTTCAGATCTTGGAGATGAACGTGGGGAGCTCCCTGAAGTGAACAGTATTGCAACTCGTAGCTAAGCCATTAGACTAATGGGACAATCTCAGAAGGTCCTCTGTGACCGCGGGCGTCCGAGGGCGTGGTGGTAACTTCCCTCTGTGCTTTTGGTCGCCTGGGCCTGAGACAGGAGTCTGAAACATGGTCACTTCAGGAAAGCTTCTAATGCTGGGGTGCCAGCTGGGTCGGGTCGCTTCCGGTGCCTGGTGTCAGAAACCCGAGCCCTCCCCTGCCTGGGCTTGGCAGTGAGCTGCACCTGCAGGGGACGGGAGCCTCCTGGGGGGTGGATAGGGGCCGTCTCTGGTGGTTGCTTTCTTACCTCCAGCTTGGAAGGGTCAGTCAGAAACCACAAGACTTCCGGGTGGTGCTCAATATCGCAGATTTGGGAACCTGAAGAGTCTCTACTTAGAACAGTTGTTTTCCCTCTCTTGTGCCATTTTCGCTTCTTAAATGAGCAGAGCAGCGCGGAAGCAGGCGTTCTGTCACTGCACTTGTATTAGCCCTCAGTGCTCCGTCCAGCCCGTCCCTCACAGAGCCACAGTCCTGGCTAAGCGTGGAGCAAGACCAGCATCTTCGAGGCCTTTGCTGCTCGCCTGCCCACAGATGCTTTAGGGAAGGGTTCCCGTGTCTTCCCATCTTCAGGAGCAGGGAAATACACCCTAAGTATTAATTTAAGGGACTTCTGTCTTTTTTTAAAGTTAACTTGGAGCTATGTGACAGGAGAAGGAAGTTGCGGGGAGAATGGGAATGTTTTTAAGACTTTGTTTTCCTGTGCGCAAACACGATAGCAGCGCTTCAGGAATGTGTCTCATGCTGTGGCCCAAACTCCCTTAGGTGCTTAGATGCATTTGCTGTTTGTTCTGCAAGCAGATGTTCTTGACTAGGCCGTGGACTTCTTGGCAAGAACAAAAAGTGTGATGAAACCCCCTCCTGGAAGGGTCTCCACGGAGGCGACCTCCTTTCACGTGCGAGACGCGAGGGAGCACGGGAGGACACGAGCATGTGGGGCCAGCAGCGGAACTCCGGCCTGACCGCTCGTCCTGGAGCCGGGCCTGGCTCCTGCCTTTCTCTCTGGCAGAATCCCTGAGCCTCTGCAGTCACATTAGGGCATGAGCTGGTGCACTGAGCTTAGGTGGGGGGGTGCGGAGCATTCTTTCAATCCATGCTTACCTCTAGGCTCACTCACAGAGCGGCTGCGTGGCTGCACTGTGACAGTCCTGACCCTTCTGGAACAGGAAGGTACAGATGAGGCGTAAGGGAGCCATTTAGGAATAAGGCCTGGACGCCGCCTTCCTAACACGTAGGCCGTCTGCCCATATGCTGTATTGTTACTGGCTGAAGGTTTGAAATCAGGCCAGTGATCAAGAAAAATCAAAACCTCAGCCCAAGATGGGGAAAACAGGTGGTGGCTCAAGTTTTTACAGAATTCCTTAAGCTCTCCATCCTGTTCTGTAAGCATTTCTTCTCTTTCTCCATCACTTAATAGCTGTGACCAGCGTTCAGCTCTGCTCTTGTGTAAAGATGACTGATTGGGGAGCAAAATCGAATCATTTCAGCAGCTGACAAGCCCCCTTCCTGCAGCCCGATCTCCACAGGCCCCGGGGCTTGTCGTGGTACCGTGTTCAAACGGTGAAGCTCTTTCAGGGTTTCAGGGGTTGGGTGCGCATCACAGAGCAGTCGGTGGTATTTATAGCTTCGCTTGTGTGCTCCTGCTCTGCTTCTGCCTACGCACGATATCCGAGCTTCCTTTGAGAAATTTGCCGTGGACTGGAAGTGCTGCTGGTGGAAATTTTAGGGAATAAAAGGATCTGTTTTCCTTTAATGAAGTGTGTGTATTCTGCTAGAAGATTACTTCTTGGACAATAAGAACAATCACTGATCTCTTAATCCTGGCTCTAAACAGCAGCCAAAGACTTGATCAGCCTATTTCTTGGTCCCTCAGTGCTTTAAAATTTTAATAGCAATGCATTTTATACGGCTGAATATGACTCTGGTGAATTGGTGGCCCATTCTCCCGTAAGGAGAAGCTTGCTCTAGTGTAAAAGATGGTTTCTCAGATCATAACCTGAGTCAGTTCAATTTTCTTTCAAGAAACTACTTTAGAGTAAGATTTGCGGGTTTGTTTCCCCCAGACATGTCCAGCCAGCCAGGGCAGCGCTCAGTCTCATCCTAAGTCCACCGCATGTGACTGTCGTGGCGAGACTTCCGCTCCTGCGTCATGATCTCTTCAGGATCTCTGCTCTCTCTCGTTCCAACACCTGCCGCCCTCCTTCCCTTCTTCTCCTCCTCCCCACCCCGCCCCCTTCAGCCCACACCTATTGATTCCACGCAGGCTCAGTCTGGGAAGACGGGCTAAAGGTTTTGATGCACTGCAGCATATCTGCCAGCAGCTATGTGAAGGATGTATTTCCTGAGCTAAGGAGAATTTTTTCAAGAGAGTACATACTAATGGCGTATATTATTGCTTTGGACCATGTATGACGTATTTTCCCCTGCACTAAAATGTATGTCTGGTGTTAGTACTTAAGAGTCTACTACAAAGAGCCAGCCCTTACAGACCAAGGAAGAGTATAAAAGACACCTAATTTAATTGTGAGCGGCATTCTGCCCATCTCCCCCATCCTAAAGCATCCTCTTTGAGGAAGGCTCTTAGAACATTAGACAGTCTGATGAGGTTGTTGGCCCTCCTCCATACACTAGGGAGAACGGCAGAACCGTTCACGCTCCATGCTGCCAAGCCGCTGGGTTTCAGAGGCAGCAGATGCTCGCCCGAGCCTCCACCCGTTGCCACGCTCCATGCCTCGTCCCTTTGCTTTGCTCTGACCCACCCGGGTCTTTTAACAGATTTGGAATATGCTGAGTCCCGGATGCCCATGACCTGCTGCTGCTGTTTCCCTTCAGGATTCGGTAAATTAATGGCTTTCCCCACTTAAGAATTTAGACTTTGACTTGAATTTAGACTTAGACTCTTGGTTTGTCAAAAAGTTGTTTGTCTGGAACATACGTGTTCTAAAAGATCTGCTCTGTATTCCAGTTTTCTCTAGGGTGTTTTTGACAGGAAGTCCTTAAAAGAGATCCACCCGAGTTGATGCTAATACTTGTCGCCAACTGGAATGTAGTTATTGATCGGTGAGCTGAATACTCTCCAAATTCGCCAGGGGCCTCTTTAGTAGCCTGGCGAGGCATCTGTGCCCTCTCTGCATGGTTTATGCTTGAAAAATAGAGACTTTCTGGATGGCTCAGTGCCAGGGCATGGGACATGCATATCCCCTGAGGTGCTATGTGACGAAAGCACACTGAGGGGGAGGGATGAGGAGGTGCCCGAGCAAGGATTGGGAGCTGTTGGAATTCTGGGGGCAGGAAGTCTGCAGACAGGCCGCTGGCAGAGGAGGGGTCCTGGAGAAAGTCAGTAAACATCAAAGTGAAACAGAAAAGCTAAGTCACTCCCAAGACAGGAAGCTCATTTTGAGGCAAGCTTTGAGGGTTTGCAGCGGGCAGCCAGATCAGACAGGGGGGCCAGAGGGTCAGCCGGCTTACCATTTAAGGATCCAAAAATCCTGTCCACACGAGGGGGTTTCTTGACATCTTAAGCGGCTTTTGCAGATCATAAATGGGATTTGCCCAGTCATGTGACCTCAGGAGGAGTCAGACACATCTAAACCAGAAATAAGTTGCATGTGGGGGAGAAGATGTCTGTAAGTATCATTTGCTTTCCAGGTTAGGTTGGGATGCAGGAGGAGTTTTCAGTATTTTTGTTAACAGTAATGATCATTGAAGAGCATTTCTGTAAACATACGGCGGGCGGGGGTTCCTTCCGATCAGGGTGATGTATGGGATGGATTCTCTTGCTGTGACGCAAACTTGTAAAATAAAGATTCTGTGACGGAAGTGTATGTTTGTAATCCCAGGACGTCCCTGACTCCTGACTGCGCCTCCTCCACCTCCCTCTCATCGTTTGTTTCTTTGTGATTTTTGTTCATTAAATTAGTTAACTGCCTCCCACCTGCTCCCACTGACAGTAGTGACACCTTCTAGAGAAGTTCCGTGTATCTGAGCAGATCTGGGGCAGCTGCTATTGAAACTCAGACATGACTTCAGCTCCAGAGGCTATATTTTGGAACAGACTGAAAATCAGTTGTAGTTTACTAATGCTCTGCCTCCACTGGGGGCAGAGGGGGCGCCTTCTGAATCAGGACCTGGGCACTGCTGCCGTTTGAGGGGAGATGACAGCAGAGACTGGGGGCAAAGCCCACGCTGTGACAGGCTGAAGTTGACCCCCTTCAGACGGTCGTCAGGTAGCTATGCGAGTTACCCCATATCAGAATCAGAGAAATCTGGGACTTGAGACTCAAAGCGTTTTTAGAAGTCATCCAATCCCCAAACCCCTTATTTTACAAGGAATGTTTTAAATTGAGGTATAACTTACATACAGTAAAATTCACCCTTTTTAAACTTACAGTTGGATGGGTTTGTATATACCGTTCTGTAGCCTCTGTAGGGTTTGTATATACCATAATTAAGATGGAACATTTCCAACATTCCATAAAGTCCCCTTGTGCCCCTTCTCAGTCGAAACCACTCCCTTTCTAAAACTACTGCAGCCCCTGCTCTGATTTCTGCGCTGTAGATTTGCCTGTCCTAGAACTGCACGTGAATGGAATCGGCTCGTATGTCCTCTTTGCCTCTGGCTTCTTCCACACAGCATACTGTTTTTGTGATTTATCCATTCAAAGTCCTAGCTTTAAAGCTACAAAAATTGGGACCTAGAGAAGGTTGTACCCCCACCCAGGTCACCCAGCTAGTAAATGTCGGAGCTGAGACAAGAACCCAGGTCTCCTGACTCCAGCCTTGTTGGGGTGGTGAGGATTAAGTCAGGGGCCTGGCCAGTGCCCGGCACAGTCAGGGCTCTGTTGGTTACTGCTGTTATGTTTATAATAACGGTAGAATGATCCTCAGTTCACGCATCATGGGAGTTCAGAGTGAAAGCAGCCTTAGGATCCATGTCTTCTGGCCTAGGTTTTCCAGTTAGTGGCCACGCCTCCCCCATACTCTTGTCCCTGACGCTCCAGAGGCCTTGACTTCCCAAGGGTGTCTGTGGAGTGAAGCATGAGTAGGGATGTGGCAGTCTAAGGGTGGGGAGCCCAGGAATCAGGCGAGACTCCAGGATGAGAGATACTGAGGCAACTCAGGAAGGAGACAGCTGAGAAAAGGCGTGGAAAGGACCTTGGGGACCATCTAATCTAGTGGTTCTCAAGCTTGAGCAAGCATCCGAGTCCCCTGGAGGGCCCAGAGTTTCTGATTCAGTAGGTCCCCACGGGGCCTGAGAAGTGGCATTGCTCACAAGCTCCCCGGTGATGCTGCCTCAGCTGGTCCCGGGTCGCACTTGGAGAACCACTAATGTAACCCAACTCCCTCCTTGAGACTTGCCTCAGTCATTCAGCTGGCACGTGTCCGAGCACCCACTTCGCACAGAGCTCCTGCTGGACCTGCAGTCAGCAGCCAGACTCCGCCCTGGCTCTGGGCCTGCCTGGTGGGGTCGTGGTGGTGGTGGGGTGAGGGGGTGCGGGCAGGGGCTCGGCTGGAGGGATGGTGCTGGCTGAACTGCTCCCCCTCATCAACATTGGCTTCCTGCTCCCCCACAGCCAGGCTAGAACTTTCCCAGTTAGAAATGCAGCTGTCCAGGCTGACCACACCTGAGCTTCAGAGGCTGTGCAGCCTGGCACCTCAGGACGCGGGCTCCGCATCCAGAAGGCCTGTGCCCACGGGTCCAACCACAGCTCACTCGCCTCCTGGGTTCTCTGTGCTGATGAACAGAGCAGGCAAAGTGGGGAACGGGCGTCTGACCCAAATGTGCCTTCGAGAGCTGCCGACTGCCGCCCAGGACCCTCGTAAGTCCTCCCAGCGCCCGCGTGGGCTCCCTCACAGTTGCAGCTGCCTTTGGGTGCCCTGCCCGTCACCAGGAATCTACCAGGTGGGCAGATTGATAGCTGTGCAGTCCCTCAGGCTGTGGAACAGCGAGGCTGGGTGAGAAGTGTGGGGAAAGAGCTGACTTCTCCCGCAGACCCTCGCTGTGCCCCTCAGTCCCCAGGTCTTCCTGTAAGGCCACAGGCCCTGGGGGCATTTGAGAACTCCTCCGAGCCCCTCAGCACTGGCCTGGCCCCGCACATGAAGAGAAGCTGGCTCAGTGGTTTGGGGACTGGATTTTAGGGGGTCTCGGGACACGCTCGGGAGCTGTGCCTGACACGGCTCCTTCCCACTTTGCAAGGGAATGCTGACCTCCATAACAATGAGGACTCCGCTCGGTAAAACAGATCTGCAGGAGCCGGGCTCGAGGCCCCTGGTCAGCCGTTAGGGTGTGCGCTCAGAGCAGAGCCTATCATTCGGAGCCCGGCTCCATCGGCGCACGGCCCGGAGGGCTGAAAATAGTTCTCCACGCACCCGTGTGTGCGGGGCCGCAGTATAAAATTAGTGGGAAGTCTGGCTCACGCCACGTGATGGGAGAGCAACGGGGTGCGCCGTGGGGAGGAGGAGCGTGCGGTGTGAGCATTGCCGCTCCTGCCTCCCGCCCTTCCCATGTTAACTGGCTCCTTCCCCTCACCCATCAAGCTTGTTCAAGGTTTTCCCATTCAAAACAGAAACACAAAGAAGTTCTCCCTAGGCTGAGCAGCAGCCCCCAACCCCCACTTACAGGCCAGACCTCTCAGGTCTGCTTTACCTTCCAGTACCCCCAACTCGCTGCAGTCTGGTTCCACTGGCCAAAGTCACCTGCAGCCTCTCGGGACATGGTCCTTATCTCCCGTGACTTCAGCAGGGACACGGTGACACGGTGGGCGCCCCCTTCAAGACACTCACCCTCGGCTCCCAATGTTGCGCCCACCACCACCCTCTGTGCATCCTGCGCCAGCCGGATTAGGCTGCCCTGGTTTCCTTTCTCTCTCCGGAGTCCTATGTCTGTCCCTTCAGTGCTCCTGGGGCACCGTCCCAGCGTCTCACCTCTCGCGCCGGTGGTTTCCTTGATTCTCCTGCTCTCTGACACCCAGGATTTTATTTCCAGCCTAGAGCTGTTCTGAGTCGCTAATGGCTTATGTCGCTGCCTCCAGGGCTGTTTTAAAGGCACTTCAAAGCCATGCTTTCAAAATGAAATCACCCCGCCTCCTCCCCATCCCAGTAAATGTGATCCAGGCCAAAACCTGGGGCTTACCCTTGACACTTCCCTTTCTGCCACCGCAGCCCAATCCTGGGGCTCACAGCCACCCACTTCTCCCTCCCTACTGCCACTGCCCGGGCCAGCCACCCTCACCCCTCACCTGGGTTACATCAGCCACCTGCCAGCTGGTGGCCTGGCCTCCAGTCTTGCCCCATTTCCAGCCTTTTGCCATGCTTCAGCAGAGTGACCGTTTAAAAGTGAGCAAGGAGTCATAAACCAATGTTACTGCAATAAACAAAATTAAAAAAATAAATAAATAAAAAATAAAAGTGAGCAAGGAGGTTACAAGATCAATATACAAAAATCAGCCGTATTTCTTTACACTTGCAATGAACAATCCAAAAATGAAATTAAAACAATTCCATTTAAAATAGCATTAAAAAGAATAAAATACTTAGGAATACATTTATCAGAAGAAGTGCAAAACTTACACTCTGAAAACTAAAACATTGAAAGAAATTGAAGATCTAAATAAACGGAAAGCCATCCCATATTTATAGATCAGAAGACAATATTGTTAACGTAACAATACTCCCCAAATTGATCTACAAATTCAGTGCAATCCCTACCAAAATCCCAGCTGGCTTCTTTGCAAAGATTCACGAGCTGATCCTAAAATTCATATGCAAATGCAAGGGATCCAGAATAGCCAAAACAATCTTGAAAAAGAACAAAGCTGATGGACTCACACTTCTCAATTTCAAAACTTACTACAAAGCTGTAGTAATCAAGAGAGCATGGTACTGGCATAAGTGTAGATGTAGAGATCAATGAAATAGAGTTGAAAGTCCAAATGTAAACCCATACATTTACGGTCAATTGATTTTCAGCAAGGGTGCCAAAACAATTCAATGGGGAAAGAATTGTCTTTTGTTTCAACCAATGGTGCTGGGACAAGTGGACATCCAACGTGCAAAAAGTCAATTTGTAGCCCTACCTTACACCGTATACCATAATTACCTCAAAATGGATCATACGCCTAAACCTGTAAAACTCTTAGAAGAAAACAGAGGAGTAAATCATACAAATGACCTTGTATTAGGCAATAGTTTCTTAGATATGACACCAAAGCACAAGCAACAAAAGAAAAAAATAGATAAACTGGACTTGATCAAAATTAAAACTTAACGTGCTTCAAAATACATCATCAAGAAAGTGAAAAGACAACCCAAATATTTGCAAATCATATATCTGATAAGGGTCTACTTTCCAGAATACATAAAGAACTCTTACAACTCAATAAAAAGATAACTCATTTTTAAAATGGGCAAAGGATCTGAAGAGGCATTTCACTTAGCATAGTAATTTCAAGGTTCATCCATGTTGTAATGTGTCAGAATTTCGTTTCTTTTTAAGGCTGAATAATATTCCATTGTATGGATAGACCATATTTTGTTTATCCTTTCACCCATCGATGAACACTTGGATTGCTTTCACTTTTTGTTTGTTGCGAGTAATGCCGCTGTGAACATGAGTGTACAAATATCCGTTCAAGTCTCTGCTTTCAGTTCTATGTACCCAGAAGTAGAATTGCTGGATCATACGGTAGTTTTGTGTTTAATTTTTTGAGGAACTGCCATACCATTCACCAGCTGCACCATTTTACATTCCCACCAGCAGTGCACAAGGGTTCCAATTTCTCTACAAGTGTTCTTTGCCAACACTTGTTTTGTATTTTGTTTGTTTTTATCGTAGCCATCCTAATGGCTGATTTGAGATCTCATTGTGTTCTTGATTTGCATTTCCCTAATGATTAGTGATGTTAAGCATCTTTTCATGTGCTTATTGGCCATTTGTATATCTTCTTTGGAGAGATGTCAATTCAAGTCCTTGGCCTGTTTTTAGTTTAGTTTAAATTATGGTAAAATATATGTAACATAAAATTTACCATGTTAACCATTTCTAAGCATACAGTTTAGTAGTAAGTACATTCACATTGTTGTGCAACCATCTCCAGAACTCTCTTCATCTTGCGAAACTGAAACTCTGTACCCATTAAACAACTCCCATTCTCCCTTCCCTCCCCACCCCCATTCCTGGCACCCACCATTGTACTTTCTGTCTCTACGAATTTGACTACGCTAGATACCCCATATCAGTGGAATCATACGTATTTGTGTTTTTGTGAGTGGCTTATTTCACTTAGCATAATGTCCTCCAGGTTTCCTTTGCCCATTTTTTTTTTTTTTTTAAAGATTTTATTTATTCAGTTTTTCCCCCCAAAGCCCCAGTAGACAGTTGTATGTCATAGGTTCACATCCTTCTAGTTGCTGTACGTGGGACCCGGCCTCACGTTGGACGGAGAAGCGGTGCCTCGGGGCGCGCCCGGGATCCGAACCCGGGCCGCCAGCATCAGAGCGCGCGCACTTAACCGCCAAGCCACGGAGCCGGCCCTCCTTTGCCCATTTTTGAATTGAGTTTTTTGTTGTTGAGTTGTAGGAGGTCTTTATATATTCTGGATATTAAGCCCTTATCAGATACATGATTTGCAAACATTTTCTCCCACTCTGCGGGTTGCCTTTTTTTCACTGTTGATAGTGTCCTTTGATGCACCAAAGTGTTTAATTTTGATGAAGTCCAATTTATTAGTTTTTCTTTTGTTGCCTATGCTTTTGGTATCATATCCAAGAAATCGCCGCCAAATCCAATATCATGAAGCTTTTCCTCTATGTTTTCTTCTAAGAGTTTCATAGTTTTAGCTCTTACATTAAGTCTTTGATCCATTTTGAGTTAATTTTTGGTGTATAGTGTAAGGTAAGGGTCCAATTTCATTCTTTTGCAAGTAGCTATCCAGTTTTCCCAGCGCCATTGGTTGAAAAGACTGTTCTTTCCGCATTGAATGATCTTGGCATCTGAATAAGCATGTCTACAAAGAAGATATACAGATGGCCAACAGGCACATGAGAAGATGCTCAACATCATCGGCCATCAGGGAAATGTAAATTAAAATTAGTGAGAGACCATTTCACACCCACTGGGGTGGCTATATGAAAAAAGACATAATAACAAGTGTGGGTGAGGATGTGGAGACACTGGAACCTTCATACGCTGCTGATGGGAATGTAAAATGGTGCGGCTGCTTTGAAAAAGTTTGGCAGTTCTTTAAAAGATGAAGCATAGAGTTACCATATGACCCAGCAATTCCACTCCTAGGAACATAGCCAAGAGAAATGAAAACATATGTCCACACAAAACTTGTATACAAATGTCCATAGCAGCATTATTCCTAATAGCTAAAATTTGGAAATAACCCAAATGTCCATCACTGAAGAATGGATAAATAAAAGTGATCTATCCATACAAAGGAATATTACTCAGCAATAAAAGGAATGAAGTACTGATACATGCTACAACACGGATGAAATTTGACAACATTATACAAAGTGAAAGAAGCCAGACACAAAAGGCCACCTATTGTATGATTCCATTTATGGGAATCCAGATTAGGCAAGTCTATGGAGACAGACAGTAGATTCGTGGTTGCCAGGGGCTAGGGGAGAAGGATTTGAGAGGTGAGTGCTAAAGAAGATGGGGTTTCTTTTTGGAAGTGATGAAAATGTTCTGAAATTGAGGTGATGGTTGCACAACTCCATGAATATACTAAAAACCATTAAATGTACACTTTAAGTGAGTGAATTGTATGTTATGTGAATTATATCTCGCTAAAGATGTTAAAAAAAGAAATACAGTGATCTAAGCTGAGAGGTGTCTCTGGGAGCATGGGGCTTGTGCACCCAACCCTGGCTACGTCAAGGAGGGCTTCCTGGAGGAAGTACCATTCTGTACAGACACGATGAATTAGCTTGATGAAGCAGATGGTGGTGGAAAGGTGTTCGGGCAGGGGGAACAGCATGTGCTAAGGGAAGTGGTGAGAGAGAGCCTGGTACATCTGGAGAAATGCAGTAGAGCTGGAATCATGAATGGGAAGTCGGGAGCAAAGAGAGGAGACTTGAAAAGTGGGTGTGGGCTGTATCGGAGGCCCTCTACTAAGGAGTTTGGCCCTTACCATGGGGGCAGTGGGAAGGCACTGGCAAGTTTTAACAGGGAGGTAATATGGTGGGACTGCATCCTAATGGGCATGCTGGTCATTATAGCAGAAAGGAATGACGTGGGGCGTCTCTTGGCTGCCTCTCTGGCTTTCATCCCTTCTCCTCTGTCCCACACTGGACCTCAGATTTCTCAGGCTTGTGGTTTGGGTGGGACTGACCCCACACTTCTCTCTCTAGGCTTGAGCCTTGATTGGCTTAAGCTGATCAGCATATCCCTTGTCTCTCTAACCCCCCCCCCCCCCACATTGATTGGTTCAGGAACAGACACATGACCCCCTTCAGGCAGTCTGGGCAGATGAGACAGTGCCCTGGAGTCTTGGTTGGCAGGGTGGAGGTGGGGAAGAGGTGGGTCACTTTCAGCAAGATGTGAACACCAAGTGGGAAGCCCTAAGCTGCTGCCTGCAGCCAAGTTGGAGAGCCTTCCTGAGAATGGCCCCAACACTGCAGAAGCAGAGGCAGAAATGGAGACAGGAAACCCAGATCCTCTCATAGACTGTAGGCCTGGATCAAGCCCTGCCTGAAGGGAGATACTGCTGTACTCCTGAGTTACGTGAGTCAATAAAGTTCCCTTTTTGCTTTAGCCAGTTTAGGTCAGGTTTTCTGTTACTATAAAGTGCTTCAGCAGATAAACACTGTGACAGAAGGAATGCACAAGGAATCAGGGAAGCCTGAGGAGCCTTTGCAGTCTCCCTGGAGGATCCTGGAAGGCTCCCGGGAAAATGTTGGGGCAGAATGCTGAAAGATGAGAAGGGGGTAGTTAGTAAAGGAGGTTGGAAGGGCTGTTGTGGGAGGGAAGGGGACGATTTATACTAAGTGTCCTTCCTGAGAATCTGCTCGTGACATTCATTCATTCTCAGTGTCCTGAGGACAAGCAGCCAGGGGGAATTTCAGCAGCCTGTCAAAGAGGTGGGCCCAGACCCCAGACCCCAGACCCAACATTGAGAGCATGAGAGGGAGCTGAATTGGCCCTGCCCCCAGATTAGCTCATCTTCCCACCTTGTTCCACAAGTGCATTCAAGTGGAGATCCCAGGGGGCATCTGACCCGCCCACGGCCACACAGCAAGAACCAGACCTGGATCCCAGGTGTGCTGTCTCCTGGACGAGTCCTTTGACTGGAAGCAACAAACATTCCAGGGCTGAGCCCGGGATGAAGCTGATTTTGTTATTTTTGAGAAAAAGCTCATTTACCCCATCTAGAATTCACATGCCGGCTCCTCGGCCCTCCCTGCCTATTTGAGGGCCCCCGACAGTGGCTCCTGCCTTTTCGCTGTCCAGACCTCATAAAACCCGTCAGCGGGCAGCCTCATTGATCCTCAGCCACGTTTTACCTTCGTGAATGAGTCTCTCCAGGCCCCTCTGACCACTCTCAACATGGAGCATGCAGAGGCTCCCGCGCCGGGGTGATTCAGACAGAACTATTAACAAGGCTGTATTTACTCTTCCGGAGGGACCTGCTGGGAAACGTGGCCGGGCAGCAAAGCAGGGGAGACTCTAGGGCCACTTGGTCAAGGGCCAAGTTGTTGCAGGGCCTCCCCACACCCCACAGCCTGCACTGGCTCCCACGGCTTTCCAGGCTAAGGGCCAAACCTCGCCCTCAGAGACCAGTTGGTAATGACCCGCCCCTAGGTCATCCCCAAGCCACCAGCCCAGTTACAGGAGCCAAAAGCTACACATGCCCTTCCCTCTAGTTTGTTATTTCCAGTCTCCCCCAGGCCCCCTGAGGGGCACCCACCCGGTGGGCAGGCCCTGCAATCAGCTTGGTGTTGGCAGGGGCCCTTCGAGTGGAGCCAGGTGCAGAACCGCGAGGAGCAGCTCGGGTGGCCAGGAAAGCCAGAGAGGCCACATCCACCGACCCTCCGGGTCATTTCCTCCCCTTGCCGCCCCCAGCCCGGGAGCCAGCTGCCGTGTACATTTGGTAGGTTGCTGGGTGGGGGCTCGTGGAGTGGGGGGGTGGGGAGGGGGTGCTCCTCTCCCCTGCCCCCAGCCCACATTTAACCTGTTGGTGGGGGCAGCACTAGCTCTGGGCTCATTTCAGAGTCAGGGGGAGCAGAGGCAGTTCTGAAGCCCTCAGAGAGTTTGGGACTGGAGAGTCCAGGAAAGACATTTACAGAACGCCACCTCCAAACTCAGCCCTGGCTCACCTACCAGTGGAGCTTTCCCTACGTCCTAATTTACAACACTCTGCCTCTCCGTTCCCGGAATCCACACGAAGACCCCTTCTGATGGCCTGCAGTGGGTTGGTCTTCGAAGGGCGGTCAGGAATCCTGCACTGGGCGTGGAGCCCTGGGTCAGGCATCCTTGGCCCAGCCGTGAGCCTGGGCGGTGAGCGTGGACTTCTCTGGTATGTTAATGATGCCCTGGAGGCCACCGAGAAGGAGGGCTTTAAAGACCCACTGCAACTGACCGTTGTCCACTGTTTGCTGGACCCCAGGCAGGGGGCCGTCAGGCTCCATCCCCAAGACTTCAGGAGCTGGCAGGTGCGGTCCTCCTAGGCCCCCACAGCCATTCGGAGGAAGAGGCTGTTGTTACCGTGGGACTTACTCTCTACCAAGGCTACACCAAGTTCAAGTCTGAAAGCAAGGGAAGCCGAAGGACTCCAAGAGAAGGCAAGGTGTCCTCCTTCTATCCTGGTCAGCTCTGATGCTTCGAGACTGGACCCCAACACTGTGTGTTGTAGTACACAGTGTCCTGGCTGGAAGGAACCTTAAAGCCCCTCCTTGTACAGATGGGGAAACTGAGGTCCAGAGAGTGAGAGCGACTGTCCAAGTCTGTACTGGAAGTTAGTAGGCCTGGAGCCCAGGACAGTGGCCTGTGCATTATCGGATTCAGTGTGTGGCTGACCTCAAGGAGACAGACTTAATGTCATGGCCAAAGAGGAGTCGAGGGGCTGAAGAGTCACCGTCCACCCGGTCATCAGTGTTGTCTGAGCTTTTGCTCTGGGTTGGGCCCTGGGCAGGCAGCAGCAACAAGACACATGCAGTCCTGCCCTCATGGGGCCCCTGGCTTGGCTCAGAGATAACTGATGTAGGGGGGCTGGGACCCTGGGAGAGCTGGGCCAGCCCCAGAGGCCATCAGGGGCTCTCCTAGGAGCCACCCCTGGATCTGCCCAGGGGAGTCCATATCCTGGCTCCAGGCTCCGGCGCTCCCTGGGGTGAGAAGGGGCTGGGCCTGGCTCGGAAACCAACAGGCATCTCGCTGATGAGCTGGGGGCAGGCCAGGTGGTGGGCAGCCCCCTGGCACCCAGGGTGGTGATGGGCTCGGGGGCCTGGGCCTCCAGAAAAGCTGCTCTGAGCGTGTCTGAGCTTGACCCCGGAGAGCCCACTGGTTCCTGGAGGCTCTACCGCGCACCTGGCGGAAGCCGCGGGACACAGCAGCCTCCCCTCCCAGGGAGAAGCGAGCATCGTCCTCCTTTCTCCTGTGAGATGAGCACATTGGACCTGGTGGTCTTCAAAGTAGTGGCTCCCAGCTTTGAGGATCCTCGAATTCTGTGGTCCATGGTATTTGGCGAGTCTGTCTGGCTCCTCTTTCGGGGGGCGGGAGGTGGACCTCTGAAGCCATAACTATGTGACCCGACCCTTGTTGACCAGGCTGATTGGACCGGGGCAAACACCTGACTCATGGGGGCCAATCAGAGCTTCCCTCCCAGACCTGGGCTTTGTGCCTCACCAGTTGGTCCAGGGGCAGGTGAGCCGTAGGGAATGTAAGACCCCGGCCAGGGCAGGAGGCACAGGGGAAGCTGTCTGCAGAGACAGAAACTGCCCGAGAGAGACAGGGTCCTGGGCAATTGCTAGATTTTGCGGCCCCGCTCCCAACATTCATTTCCCGTTCTTCTGGAAAAAGCACCCAATTTACTTTGGGGGGAGACTCCCTCTCCCCAGGAGCAGCCTTGGAGGGACTGCCCTGGCCACCCCCATCCGGTATGATCCCGAGACCCAGCATGACCCATCAGACTGTCTCCCCAGGACTGAATTTTGAGCAAAGGGCGGCAGAGAGGGAGAAAGTGGCCAGAGCCAATGGCAGTCTGAAGACAGCGTTTCCTTGTCTCTGCCGGTGGATCCCACATCCCGGGGATTCCTGGGTCTGCCCCTCCTCAGCCCAATCTCCAGCTGCTCTTTCAGTGCCCTGAGCTCCTCTGCAGACACACGTTGCCAGTCCTGCTGCCCTTAGCTGGCTTCGCTCTCTGCTGCGGGCACCTGTGGAGCCGGGAGGTGGGAGAGGACGCGGCTCCCTGCCAGGGCTGGCCTCACCACTGGGGCCCTGGCTTGCCTCCTGCCCTCCTAATAAAGCCTCCTTTTGCTTCCGCTGGCTTAGGGGCAAGCAGGGATTTCCTCCCTCCTCAGACCCAGAGAATAACCGTAGAGGGGTTGGAAATGACAGGCAAGGGCTGGAGGACACAGCCCGCTCCCCTTTGCCTCGGGGGAGGCGTGAGCCCCATGCCAGGACAGCAGGAGGCGTGTGGCCAGCTGCCCACTTGCGAGAAGAGCCTCCCTAAGACCCTCAGACGGCCCCACTGGGGAAGGCGAGGTTCAGGGGAGGCACATCTCCCTGCGCTCCTGGGCAGTGGGAGACTGAGGACCAGAACACTGCCTGTTACTGGCCCTTCTGCGGCGACGGTCGTGGGCGTCCCTTCTCCCTTCCAGGGCGCCAGAGGGAGCTGAGCAGCGAGCCTTCGTCCCCAGGCCAGACAGGCTTGCACCTGTTTCTCATTCACAAATCCCCTTGTTCACCTGCTCCCTGCAGTAACCACGCCTTCTGTGACGGAGGAGCCCCCTTTCAAGGCCCATGAACGGCCCTGCGAGGCAGAAGGATCCCCGGGGCACCGTGACCCCGGCTTACAAACAAGGAAACTGAGGCTCAGAGAGGCCGCAAGCCTGACCCTGGGTCCCACACGCAGGACTGACACCCAGACTTTTGGTTTAGGGTCATTTCCATGGAGAGTTTAATTCAATGATTTCTTTTTTCCTTTGTCAATAATAATAATCATATTACTAAAACAAATATATTGTTATTCATCAATAATAATAATAGTCAATCTTTACTGAGTAGTGTATTTTATATATGTCATCTCACTTAATTCTCATACCGACCCTGTGGGGAGGTGGTATTTTTATTATGCCCACTTTCCAGACAGGGAAACTGAGGCTTCAGGAGTTTGAGTAACTTACCCAAGGCCACACAACCAGTAAGGCAGTCCAGCTCCAAGGCCTGTGCTGACCACAGGAAGCCATGGGCTGCTTCCACAGGCCCCCAAGACGAGGCTGGCCAGAGGGCCCTGTGAGGGTGTGAGTGCAGCGGGCAGTTCTGACACAGACGGGTGACCAGCTCCTGGTCCTCCCTGAGCCGAGTCCCCTGGTCCTCTCCAGTGCCGTTTGCCCTGAGCGGGCGGTGATTTTCTGGGGGGAATGATGCAGCCTGCTCCCCGCAGGCAAGCTGGGTGGGAAAGAGGGGAGAGTTCTCCCCAAGGGGGTGCTGAGACGCACGGTGCCCAGGCCGACCCTTCCTGCCCCAGGGCCCACAGCGCGGTGGCCCGCGCCCCTCTCTCCGGCTGAGCCCTGCTTGCCTCGGGTTCCTCCTGCCACGGCGCTCCCGCAGCCACTGCCCGCGGGCTGCAGTTGGCAGCCACTGGAACAAGTCGTGGGGACAGGCCAAGTCAGCTCGCTGAGCCCAGCGCGGTTGCCGTGCTCCCACCGTGGGCCAGGCCCCCGCGGGACGTCTGGGATGGCGAAGGAGCCGTGGCTGGGTGGGCTCTCTCCAGCAGTGCCCACCCTGGGGATATACTTTCTAAAGACCCGCTGCTTCACCTCCGTCCATTGAACCCTCATCAGCCTTCGGGTTGTTCCACTTTCCTTGGGAAAATGCTCTCTTCACTAGGCTACATCGTCCCCCCGCCCCCAGCCCCGGGAAGTCAGAACTGGTAAAACAATGGGTTCTTCACGGCTGTTTATTCCACAGGACACCGGTTCTTCAAATGCTAGCTGGAGTTAAGAAAAACAAGAAAGTTCAATGGTCAAATAAGTGTAGAAAATACCTACTTAAATAAAACATTTCGTTCCCGCAGGACTCCTCAGAGCCTTTACTGTGCTAGCGTGCACGGTGACTCTTGGAGAGAGTGGTTATAGTTTGTGATATTCCCCCAAGGCATTTGACCAGGGAACCCTTTTCCCCACAGGACGCATATGCCACAGAGACTGTTTTTTCTGTAGGAGACGCTGGATTATGTACTTTCGACAGTCTTTATATAATTTGGAGAAAAAAATGTGATTAAAAATGACAATTAAAATACACAGTGATGTACACAGGTTTTTTTCCTCATACAGTTGGGATCTATGGCATGTGAGCAGATTTCCATCCATGCCATAAGGTAATATTGTCGCACAGGATTCCAGGGTCTGGGTAGAGGAATCCTCCCTTGTTGGGTATGTAGGTTGCTTCCATTTGTTGTTGTAAATGCTGCTGCAGTAACACCTTTGAAGCTGAGCATTTGCATAGATCTCTAACTGTCGGCTGAGGATAATTTCCTAGAAGTGGAACTGCTGAGTCAGGGACTATAGATATTTATTGCCAAACTCTTCTTCAGAGAGGTCATCCCAACTCACGCCCTGCCTGGCAGCGTCTCGCTCCTTTGCCAACACTGGGTACAATCACGGACTTGTACATTTTCTTCCAGTTTGTTTTGTGCTTCTTTGACGACTTGGAAGGGACAGTTTTCGTGTGGACTGGCGGCTTCATTTGCTCCCGTTGCATCGCCTGTTGGGGGCTTTCCCCCAGCTTTCTAAGCAGGCTCATGTTTTTCTTATTAATTTAGAAAGTTCTTAATAGGTTGAAGATATTAACTCTTTGTCGTGCGCTTGTGCAAAGCATTTTTCATCTTTGTAAACCCTCCCCCACTAGAAGATCAGATTCGTCTGTGAGATGGAAGTGATTTGCCAGAAGTCACACAGCGTGTGAGGGACAGCACCAGGACTAAGCCTGGGCCGGGGGTGGCCATGCTCCGTGCTGGGGGTTCATTGGGACCCCTCCTCTGCCTCCCCCTTCCCCTCCACTGGGCCAAATGTCAGCACCACCACCCCCAATCCCTAGTGGCTGACTCCACCCTGGGCATCCTCTGAATCCCTGTTCCCACTCAGACCTGTGGAACAGAAAGGACTTCCTCCAGACACACCTCCTTAAATCACATCAAGAGCTGCTAAACCCCAGGACCAGGTGCCCTGGGGGTAGGTGAACACCAGGGGGACTTGAGCTCATCTGGGGCACCCAGGAAGGCTCCACGGAGGTGATGCTTAAATGGAGACTTGAAGGGATGTCCAAGACAGCGCTGTCCGATAGAAATATATGTGAGCCACGTGTGTAATTTTATTTTAATAATTTTATTTATTTTTTTCCCCCCAAAGCCCCAGTAGATAGTTGTGTGTCATAGCTGCACGTCCTTCTAGTTGCTGTATGTGGGACGCGGCCTCAGCATGGCCGGAGAAGCCGTGCGTTGGTGCACGCCCGGGATCGGAACCCGGGCCGCCAGCAGCGGAGCGCGCGCACTTAACCGCTAAGCCACGGGGCCGGCCCGCACGTGTGTAATTTTAAATTTCCTAGTAGGCACTTTAAAAAAAATTAAAAGAAACAGGATGACTTAATTTTAATAACATATTTAATGCTTTATATCTAAAAAATTATCAGTTCAATCAAAAATCGAATTTTTAAAAACATTAATGAGAGCCAGCCCTGATGGCCTAGTGGTTCAAGTTCAGCGTGCTCTGCTTTGGCAGCCCAGGTTCGGTTCCTGGGCCCAGAACCACACCTCTCGTCTGTCAGCAGCCATGCTGTGGTGGTGGCTCACATAGAAGATCCAGAAGGACTTACAACTATACATAACTATGTACTGGCACTTTGTGGGGGAAAAAGGAAGAAAAAAGGAGGAAGATTCGCAACAGATGTTAGCTTAGGGCGAATCTTCCCCTGCAAAAAAATAAATAGATAAAAAATAATGAGATATTTTTCATTCTTTTTATTTTGTACGAACCTTTGAAATTGGATGTGTATTTTACGCTTACAGCACATCTCCATTTGGACTGGCCACATTTCAAGTGCCCAATGGCCGCGTGGGTGCCAGGGGTTTCCATGTTGGACCTCTCCGATCCAGGCGGTCGCTACAGTACAGGGTGGGGGAAGGGGGAGCAGCCCGGGTGGGGCAGGGGAGTGGAGGAGAGGAAACTGCTGGTTAGAGGAACCAAGAGATAAGGCAGGAGAGAAGGTGGCCTTGAGAGAGGGCGGGGACTGGATTAGACTGGTTGTGGGGTGAGAGAAAAGCATTCAGCCCTAAGGGCTATTTAGGGAGTGAAATCCAACAGCCTAGGTGCTGTTGATGGATCTAGAGAGTGGGGTCCTTGGGGGGAGGAAAGGGGAGAAGATTCTTTTAGGGGGGGAGGTGATGAATTATATTTCCGGCCTGATGAGTTTGAGGTGCCTGTGGGGCATCCAAATGGACATTCCCCATAAAGCCCTGGGTACGTGGATTAAGGCCTTGGAAGGGACCTGGCTGGAGCTGTTGATCCCTCAGGGGACGTAACCGCTGCCCAGGGTGCAGCGGCCTAGGAGGACATTTAATCCAGACTCTGCCTACCACATGGGTGTGATTTCTCCCCCCATGGCCTTTCTGGAAGAACTACTGAGGAAGCTTCTGTGGTCACCCTTCCCCAGGAGAGCTCATAACAAAAAAGAGGGGACTCTCTTTGCTGAAAGGCAGGGGGAGGACTAGAGGCTGGGTTCAAATGCAGATTCCCAGGCCACGCCCCCACCTCGTTCAGATCCGCCATGTCTGGAGGGGGCCTGGGCATCTGGGTCATCAAGAGGCTCTGAGCAGGGTCACTCAGGAAGGCCTCGGCCTGGGGCTACATGCAGGTGAGCAAAATGATATGATAAAATATTTTTCTTATTCAAAAGCAATGTGTTTAATTGTAGAAAACAATTTGTATAAAATACAGAAGAGACTCTGGAATTAGATAGTGGTGGTGGTTGCACAATAGCAAATATACTAAATATACTAAAACCACCAAATTGTATGTTTTAAAATGGTGAATTTTATGTTATGTGAATTACATCCCAAGTCTAAAAATGCAAGGAAAGATACAGAGGAGAGAAGAAAATAAAATGACTTGTCATCCCACCTCTGCTGATAAAGACTGATGTGACACTTTGGGAGTATAGCCCTCAGACTGCTTTCCACAGAGGGGTATGTAGTTAATTTGATTATTTCATACACACTGGTTTATAGCCTGCTATTTTTTGAACAGAAAACTCAACGTCCTCACTCGGGTGTCTCACAGACATCTCAAACCCAGTGTTTGAGTTCATGACCTTCCTCTTCAAACCTGGTTCTCCTCGGGTGGCCCCGTCTTGACAAATGTATCCCTCCCCCAGGGGCTCCTGGCAGCCACCAGGGAGCCGCCCTTGACCACTCTCCTGCCCCCCATCTAATGAATCCTCACTCAGATTCCCCGGCTCCTCACTGGCCTCTCTGCCTTCACCTGCCCCCTCCAACCCACAGAGCAGCCAGAAGGAGCCTCTTAAAGCATGAATCTGGTCGTGAAATCCTGGCATGAAGTCTGGCCACACAGGTCTCTTCACTTAAACACCCCACTCCTGTGGCAGAAAGAACTAGAACCCCTGCTCTTAGGAGAACAACCCGGGCATCAGGGAGAGTGGATCCGAGCCCCTGGTCAGGGCGGCTGGGGCTGAGCTGATGTGGGCAGGGACGCTTTGGGCTGAAATCCAGCTCAGAAAAGAGGGTAAGGCCGACCCCAAGGCCCAGCACCTTCCTGCATGCTGTCCTCATGTCATAGGGCCCAACACTGCCCACCCCTGCCCGACCAGGCCTGTGCGTCTCCCTCCCTCCTTTTAAAACCTGTTCTTCCTGTGACTTCCAGGATGCCCCCACCCCGGTGTTCTTCCTACCTCCACGCCGACACCTGCTTCCTTGGCGTCTCCACTCGGAATGTCTAACAAGCATCTCTTACTCACACGTCCAGAACAGGACTCCTGCTCCTCCCGCCTCCCATCCTGTCCCCACCCCACTTTAGTAAATGGAAACTCCCCTCTGACATGGCTCAGGCCCAAATCCTCAGCACTGTCCTGGTCTCCCATCTTGGCCTCACACCCAACCCAATTGGCTGTCCTGCGCCTCTACCTTCAAAATATAACCTGAGTCTAACCAGTTCTCTCCATGTCCTCCCCTGCCTCAAGGGACCCGGCCACACTACTCTGGCTGATGACGCACGCGCCTCCCGCACGCGGGGCCCTGATCCCGCCCACCTGCGTCTGCCTGGAGTCAGTGCTCCACCCAGCAGCCCAGGGATCCGGCTAAATTCCAACAGATCCCCGAGTCTGACCTCATCCCCCACCTCTGCCTCGCTCTCTAAGCCCCCCTCCCTGCACCCCTGGGAGGCCACTGAGGGCTAGCTGGGCTCACCGCAGGGCCTGGGCAGCGCTCCCCCCCCCTCAGGTCCTGGTTCAAGTAGTGCCTTCTCAAGGAGGCTTCCCCTGCCCTAGGATCTCCCACCTCCCACCCAGCACTTCCCATCCCCCTTCCCTCCCTTATTTTTATGTTTTCACCTTTGGCATGATATATTTTACTCATGCATTTTGTTTATTATTATTATTACTTTTCGTGAGGAAGATTAGTCCTGAGCTAACATCTGTGCCAGTCTTCCTCTATTTTGTATGTGGGTCGCCACCACAGCATGGGTGATGAGTGGTGTAGGTCTGCACCTGGGATCTGAACTGGCGAACCCAGGCTGCCAAAGCAGAGAGCTCGAACTTAACCACTACTCCACTGGGCCGGCCCATTGTTTATTATTTATATCGCTCTCTCCTCTCTAACTATAAGCTCCATGCAGGGGCTTGTCTGGATCTTCCGGGGCCTGGTGCACACAGGCACTCGGTAAATATCTGCTGAATGATGGAGTCAATCTGGGAAGCCCCCGGTAAGCTCCCTAATGCCCCTGGACAAGTGTTTCTGTGTGTGTGCCCCCAGCGCCCTCTCCATTGTTCCTTTTGTGGCATTTGTCACCACTGTAATTTGGTGACCGCTGTGGCACAGGCAGGGGCAGTGGGGAGGTCTGTGAGCTCCCCAAGGAGACAGACCACATTGGTCACGGCAGCATCCCTGGTGCCCAGCACAGTGCCCTGCACAAGGGCAGCGGGCAAGAAATACTCAGCGGAGGAGCACCTGGATTTCCATGGGGCTCTGGTTGCTCCCGCTCTCATGGTCATCCCGACTGGCCCTGGTCCCCACGTGGGCTCCCCCTCCTCCCAGGCAGGATGCTCAGGCTGGGCTGCCCAGCTGGGAGCCCCTCACTGTGGGTCCCTCGATGGTGTCCATTCCGAGTCAGTCCTCACGGTTGGGACATCCTGCTCCCAAGTCTGAGCCCGGTCCCTCTGACTTAGGGCCCAGCCCTAGCTCTTGGGGTCTGTGCCCTCCCCACTTTCCTCCCAGAATGAGCTCCCGCAGGCCAGCAAGTAAAACCCCATCTGAAGGCTGCTGGGGCCTGGGGCTCCACCCAGGCCAGGCCTTCAGGGAAAAGCTGGAAAAGCATGTTTGGAGGTAGGAGGGGGTGTGTGGGGGCTGAGACGCACTCTGGGCCCCGGTCAGGGTGTCTCTGTCCCCCCAGTTCCTCTGTGCTTCCCGGACCCCCTGAGGTCTGAACACTGTGCCAAAGTGGGGAGAAAAGGGGACCCTGCCCCCTACCTCACCCCTGCCTCGTCCGCCCATGCTCCACACACCTTCAGGCCCCAGGACCGCATCATTCCTTCCTCAACCCCTCACTCATTCACAGAGGTTTGCTGAGTGACCCCCGGTCAGGTGCCTTCTAGGTGCTGGCGATACAACTACCAACAAGACAGGAAGCCCTGCCCTCAGTGGCTCATACAGAAACACAGGGCCTAAGACTGGAGTCTGATGGATGCTAAGGAGAAAACAGAGAAAACTGGGAAGGGGATGGGAAAGGTCCCCCCATGCAGATGGGGGGCCAGGGAAGGCCATGCAGACCCCCCACCCCAATCCACTTGCCTCTGTCCATCCAGGTGGAGCCCTGACCACTGGCCTCGGCCTCAACTCCTGCCCGGAGCGCCCCTCCACGGGGGCAGAGAGGCAGACGGTCCCCTGTCACCTCCCTGCTTAAATCCCAGAGGCCCAGCTCCTGTCCCCCTGGCCCTCGCCCTTCTCTCTGGCCTCGGATCACAGAGGCCCTGCGCCTGGAGCCCTGTGCAAGGAAAGGAGCCGTCCCTCCGGGTTCAGGCCTCCTTCCCTCCTCCGGGTTTTCTGGGCCTTGAACACGTTCCCACCCCCATCCCTTCCTCTCCCTGGGCTTGGAGGTCACTTTCCCCCGGGCGGCGGTGGGTGACCCCCACCAAACATGTGACACCGTGCGGAACAGTGCCCCCCGCCCCCGCCCCGTGAGGGCGCCTGTCCTGTGCAGCGGCGCGTCCCCAGCGCCCGACAAATCCGTGTCGAATGAATGAATTCCGCCGGGCAGAGACTTGGCCTCGTTCACGTCAGATCTCCAGGGCCCGCCCCCGCCGTGGGGGTGCTGGAGCGCCGGGGATCGACTCCAGGGCGGGTGGCGGGGTGACCTCCCCCCTCCCCTCCCGCCCCGGACGCGGCG